ATGTGATTTGTTCAAACTGGATAATAACTTTGGAAAGAACGGGTAAGCAAAACAAATTTCCATGAATCCCAAACCCAAAAATAAAACAATATAGTTGTGCCAAGGAGGGAAAAAAAAAAAAGAGGAAGCTGTAACATGGCTTTTACAGGTTGGTCCAGAAAGTCATGAGTTCTTCATTTTGCAAACTACATTAAAGTGAGAGTGAATGACCTTATCGAGTTTCCTCTTTGTCTGTAATTAGGTGAGCATTTCGATCCGGGAACAAGTTCATGTACAGTAGTGGCGGTGAGTTGCCGAGATGCCTCTGAACGTGTACTGACAGTTTACGTACAAGAGAATTTGTGCCAATCTGTGGAGATAAATGTACAATTCATAGAATGTGTCCAGAGAAGAATAGCCAGTTTTTTACCATCATAGAAGATAGAACACGATTCTCCACAACTATCACAAAATCTCCAAGCTGTTCTAGATTTTGATGGACTGAATGAAGGAAACTTCTAAGCAGGGTCTGAAACGTTACCATAGATCCTTGTATAGGCTTCATAGACTACCACTTAGATAAGTGAAAAAGTGAGGGAAAAATGTCGCGGCACCATTTCTACCCGGGTGTGTAAACTGTAGAAATGGCTATCAGTTGTGGCTATTGTTTCGACCTGGAAAATATTGTTTTATCTTGACAATTTATTGACAATTTGATGAGTTGAGTCCAGTAGTTACCACACTTTGACACCCAAGGGGTTGTGGGAGGTAGTAGTAACTGGTTGGGGATTGTCCGGATATATTATTTGTTGAATGGTCCGGACACTGTCTTGTCATGCTTTTGTCATACACAAAGCACACCTAGCAACATGTCTGAACTATTTTCTGAGATAACTGCCTTTCATTGCCGCTGTTCATATGAAGCATATCCTTAAATGAAGATGCTCCAAAACCGCCTGTTACCAATAATCACAACATGTTGCTCATTTGATCCATGGAGGATGTTCTCATACAGGCTCCATGGATCACGTATTGGAAGATTTATGTCATACTTCTTCAGTTCATTTGGGGGTTAGAATTTACATGATGTGATGGATTGAGGGTTCTCATCAGTCTTTTGAAGGGACATCACAGTACATAATGAATTTCCATTTACAAATACTTTTAGACACACTATCCAGTCACATATTTTGAGGTAGATGAAGAAATGTATTGCATTGCTTATCCACTGTCCGCAAGGATTTTAAATGTATTTACATTCTCTAGTAGACACCCTAATTACATTTTCTTTAGCACCATGTATTTTTTCCATTTGTACATACATAACATTTTCCATTGTTTCTAATCTACACATTTTCTGTGTGATTGACTTTCATACGTCGATCACTCCTTCAGTCTGATTACTTTTGTCTATTTTTCTTTCATCTAATCACATTTTCAATTGCAAAAGGTAATTTATCTCCTGTTTCCTGCCTTCATTTCTCCTTTTAACCTACAAGGAATACTCATAATTGAAATGGTCTATCCAAACAAACTAGCTGTCATTGGTACCGTATTACTTTTGAAAATTCAATCTCACAGCTATGAAAACATCTATTAAAAAAATCAGAACATTATAGATGGCATTAGTGTCAGTCTCTCTAAATGCCACAACCTCAACAATATGTTCCATATAAATGAAAAACAAAAACTTTGACATTTCATTTGGTTTGACCGGCCATTACTGAGCCACCACTGCTTGGCATTGCGATAAACTGTTTAGAGAGTTATGTTGGCATGCTGCTTAAGGCAACACTTTTAATACTTCTTTCTTCATAACCTTTAACATGTTCTTATTATATCCAAGGGAAGAACTTTTGGCCATCAATATGACCAAGCCAATACTGCCACCTCACACAGCTGCAACTTATTTGGGCCCTTTCACGTCCAATTCCAAGTGCCCAGCGTCTATTAGGCGACGTCACTGCTTTCCTGTACGTAGGCTCCAAGTACCAGGCCTGCGCAATGGAAAAACTCCCCAGAGGTGTGCTAGCCTGTGCACGAGCAGTTTACCCTTCGCTACATGAGAAGTTGATTGCATTTTGGCTGCCCTGCAAGTGAACGGATCTTCAGGCACAAAAGCCCTTGTTTTGGACTTTGGAAAGAAGATGTATTCGCTATTACATTATCCCCAGCATATTTAATGCATATGTTATAACCTGCTGGATATAAGTTATTGTCTCCATATTATTAGCTCTTCATACTCTCTGTGGAATACGTTGCACATGTATTTGAAGAGAGTGGTGCAGATGGTTACCATGATCACCTGCACGCTCTCATCCAACACTACGTCATTCAAAAGCCACAAACAAAATGTTCTCTGATTCCCCAAAAAATCTGGTAGCTCAAAGACTCCATCTCGGGTAGACAATAGCTACATGTTTTTTTGGTACTGATGTAACATTTTTGGTTATTTTTTTCAAGAAACTTTTAAGATAAAGTAATGGATTACAGTGTCAGTGGAATATGACAATATGAAAGACCTGATAGATTCTGATTTCTGTCACTATTTTCCAAGCAAGAATCATTCTGTACTTGTCCTTTTCCCTTGTGCCCAAAAAGAAAACAAAGAAAATTGAGTAAAGCTCCATACAAATCACAACTCCGATGACAGTGACCAGTTGCAGTATGATCATTTTGATGAGCGTTATGTGAGACCTGGCATCTGGTTTTGTTTTGGGGGAGCATTCTCAGAACTGGCATCCAGATGGCTGGGGCAGAGGGACAATGAAATATCCAGGGCCGGCAGCAGACAAGGCTCCCAACTCGAATTTGTGTGTCCACATCTGGCTAACTTTAGCATACCTCCAACACCTCATGTGATTTGCCATTTTGCAGAATGCCCTCTGTGTGGAGTCTGGCTGTTTTTTGGACAGCACAGTAGTAATTGGTTTACCAACATGCCCACAAGGTTTTGTCAAATAAAAACAGTGGTATTTTGGAACATTCATTCATCACCTGGCTATTTGACAATGCAATAAATAACAAAAAATGCATGACAAATTAATGCATTTGCCTTGATTCTCCAGTGTATAATCACTTCTAATCAAAACCGCATTTGTTTTACTGTCTTGACATTCTGTTGTCAATACACAATTGTGGAGTAAATGAAGCCATCTTTATTGTCTCTGTCCTTTTTACAGCATGTGTCTATTTCCTTTACTTTTTGTTCCAACAGAAAGAATCAATCCACTACATGCAGTCGTCATGTATTAAAAACATCTTATCTTTTGCTACTTGTAAGAAAGAGCCTTATGAGTTGAAAGAAAGAATGAGTTTTGAAAAAGCTCTCTAAAGATGTGACAGAAGCTAAAATCACATGCATGTGAAAACTAGTGATAGAACCAAACTGTTGTAGAACCATGAACTACAGTTTACAGTTATACAGTATACTGTATGTTTGTGGTTTGTAAAACAAACTAGTTATCAGATGGCTACAAATAGGGGTGTGACAATATATCACGATAGACATTTGCATTTGTCAAGTATCGATATTGATTTTTAAAAAATATTAGTATATATTAGTATCAATACTTAATATATGGCTACATTACGCATCTCCATTCCATTTATCATGAAATAAAGTGTATTTTTTCACTTAATTTTTTTTTTATTTATGCCATAAATTGGCATATGGTATAGTGCTGACCAATATATCGGTAATCATCATATTGTGATGAAATTGTTATCGTGATAAAATTGTTATCGTGATATTATCGTTATCGTGAGCTTTGTATCGTATCGTATCGTGAGGTACCCTTTGGTTCCCACCCCTAGCTACAAATGTAGTTCAGATTCGCATTTCTCTATTGATCAAAGCTGGTGGTTCTGGGCTATTGGAGTTGTCAGGCTGCAGACCCATAGCAGCTTCTGACGCTCGGATTTGACCACTTGCTGCGACATTTCATCACATTTTTGACCTTTGGCCAAGTCTTCTGACAGGGACACTTGAGTCCTTCTCATCCTCTTTGTCTGCTGTCCCCAGGAGCTCAGTGCATACCAGTGCTCTTCAAACGCAGATGTATTAGCCATAGCTGTGCGTAGGAAATCGAATAGACTTGGTTTTCACCTGACCGCTTCCAGATGTGGCGGCAGTCAGTGGAGAGTGGACTCAGGAATTGCAGTGTCCTGACATATGAGGCATCGCTTGTCAAAAAAAGCATGACTAAGCAAGGAACGGTTCATTTGTGAGTCAGAATACACAGGGCCTCTGAATATTCTTCTTTTCTGTCAACAGGATAGTTTTTAGAATATGCACTGCACACGGGTCACTTCAACTGTTTTTTTTCCTAGCAGGAAGAATACAACACATGGCTCTATTCCTTACTTTATTATTAAAATTATTATCATTATTATTTACTGTAACTGTTGTAAAAAATGCCATTTGGTCGGTGGACGTAGTTCAAAGTTTTGGTAATTTTCTTCTCGTATTCTATGTCAGACAATTGTAAGATAGAAGAAACAAATAATTTTAGCTCAATGTTTTGGTGTTTAATCAATGAATCAAGATGTTTCTTTCTAAACACGAAAAAATGCAAATCTTCCAAACAAAGTAATAAACATTCTCACTTATGTGCTGTGTGCAAGGCGTTGGATGAAGCAGACTCCCATACTATTTAGAACAAAACATTAACGTTTTAATATGATACAAAAAACTGCAGAAAAAAAGATCACTATACAATAATATTTATGGCCCAAGCACTCTCTGACCCTAGACTTATACACCTCTCTCCCACTACTCGCACTGTGCTGGAAGCATCACTCTTTCCTCCTCGTACTTCTTCAGTACTCGTTTTTCAGACTGTGATTTATCCATGATCTTGGATCAGTTTCCTTTTGACCTTTAAAGCACAAAGCAGAAACCTTCTTCTCGACGACAAACCACTGGAGACTGTTCACATTCATTGCACTGTATTGAAAAGAAATGGAGCTCTACTTTGGGCTTCCTATCACATTCACTGGTGTTGACTATTCTGGTTAAGATGACTGTGATAGCAGATATTGGACGGTCAAAAGTGGTCATTGACATCAATCAACTAACTGTTCAAATGAATGTGTATTCATTTTTCTGTGTTCCTTACAGCATCAACAATAAACTGCAGCAGCCTGAAGCCGCCTCTGGAGTGCTGGAGTATGCCATGAAACATTTTGGAGAGCTGGTAAGAATGCAACATGTTACACTTACATTTACCAATACAACAACAGATTAAAATTCAGAAATTATTTACGCAAGTCTGATTTTTTTTTCCGACTTAATGTTTGCACTGGGGTCTATAATACACCAATGACCCCTGAACAACCTTAACTGCATCTGGAATAATCCCTTTTCCTGACCCTTTGGGATTTTCCACCGGCCCACGCGTTATTTGATTTTCATATTTGAACACCTTTTAATTGTCTGCTGTCAATCCACTATAGTGTAGACTTTTTATTGTTTTAATCTCTTTGTTCATATAATAGATTTTATTGTATAACTTGTATAACTAAAATTCTTTGAGAGATAGCGCAACTTCTAAAGAAAAACGCACCTTCTAAAGAAAATATATTAAATTGCATAGTTAGATTTTTATGTTTGTAAAGATGGCTAGTTGCGTAGCTTTGGACTGAAAACATTGGAAAAAGAATAACCACAAACCTATTAGTCTCATACTTGAATCGTTGTCATCAAACGTCCTCAGATTTGATTCATGAATGTCTTTTTTCCCCTATCAACATTTTTGTACCATTGCTGGAATACCATACCTCTTCTAGCAGGAAATGGCACGTCCATCTGCTTTTGTCATCCACCTTGGGGTTCTTCTTATGGCTCAGTTAAAGTAGAAAGTTTCATTGTACTCTCCCAGGAACGCTGTTTATGAGGTGACCTTTGGGAAGCTTTATTGTGGGAAGAAGTTTGGTTTCCTTGTTATGTTAACTGGTTACCCATGACGAACGACCCAAACTACTGCGTCACTGCTTTAGCCACAAGACGGCTGAACAAAATGTATCTATCATCCTCTTTGTCCCGCATAGGAAATCCAAGCCACCTGGTACGAGAAGCTGCACGAGTGGGAGGATGCGTTGGTGGCATATGATAAGAAGATCGACATGAACAAAGAGGACATGAATCCGGAGCTGAACCTGGGCAGAATGCGTTGCTTAGAGGCTCTGGGAGAATGGTATGTCATCTATAGAGAGGTCAATCAAATCTTTTGCACTATAAAATAATTCCCCCCCCCCCCCCCCCCCCAACATTAGGAGCAGAGGCACGAGAATGTATTGATCTATTCACTCTTTCCCATCAATAATTTATTTATGAATACAGATATTGAACAAAAAAGATGGTTGGTTTAAATACAGTATTTCAATGAAGGTACCCCTGCTGTAAGTCATTCAAAGCCTTGGTGGAATACAAATATTCCTATGCCTGAAATGTAGGGCATATACTGTAAACTACTTTTAATGGCAGTACTTTGAAGAAAGTGAAGTTGCTTTGGCCAAAATACTCCTTTACCAGGGTTCTAATTGATCTTATGTATGTGGATGCATAAATCTGCTTTAGTAATAGACCCTATGGATAGAAACAAAATCTACTTAACTAAATTGAGGCATCAAGACCGTATCCCATCTATAAGTACATTTATACTGTAAAATCTTCTACACTTAAAATCACTTTTGACGTATCTAGATCATGAAATTAAACATTGTAAAACACTAGAGAACAAGATGATTCATTTTTGTCGCTTAACACATTTGAACAAAAGTACTATGATGCTTTACTATGAATCATTAAAATGAAATTTCCTGAAAATGATAAATGGTAGAGCCTTTTTTCTTTGGAAATGTTCTGAATAGAGAACAGTGAGGTAGTTCATTGCTCCGGGCTCTCTGAATGTGCTCTCAGAGCGTGGGCAGCCTTTCCCTAATGAGCCCCCACATTACAACTTTGATGACAAGCTGAAAAGGGAAAGAAAATGGTTTCTTTGAGTTAACCAGCGTAATAAAACCGCCAAGTGTTTGACCAGCCATCCAATGGTTCAGAACAGTACCAGTCCTCCATGGCCTCCCACATTCATTAAGTATTACTTATTTGTAGTCATTTCACAGTGATTCAATTGTTCTCAACTGGAAGTGATTCTTCTCAATGGCAACTTTCATAATTGAAATTTCCCCACTGTGGGACAAATAAAGTCTCTTAATCTCTGTATTTCAACAATACATCACACATTTAAATGTAAAATATCCCCTCCCCAAAACTCCAATCCGTAAAATTGGAGAAGAGTTAAACCAATAGCATGGGCCCTCAAGGATTTGAATACATTTCGACCAATCCAGAAGCTCAGTGACATGTACTTTAATTTGTCCTTCTAAAATGTGCCTGTTGGATATGTTTTCATTTTTATATGTATTGACAAATGTATGAGGAAAGCAAATGAAAATCTAAAATATGTGTAAATCTTGGTAACCTTAACTATAGACACAGTAACCCGCACAGTAACCCCCCCCGCATAAAATAAAGATTCATTAACATACCTTACATAAACATCTGTTTACAGAATATCTTTTTTATGGTCTCAAAGAAAGAAACGTTCTCCTGCAAATGCACAACATGGCTTTGATCTGATTTGGGACAATACGCTTTGATCTGATTTGGGACAATACACCACTGATTGTTGTTAATGAGGAATTTGGCTGGATTGTGACAGGTTTAAGCAGAACAGAACACTTGATGCATGCTAAATGATATAGGCCAGATATAAACATTGTCTTTCTTTTATCTGATTTACTGGCATACTTCACGGGTATTTGTTGTCTTTCCCCAAACAATAAACATGTTATGATTCATGAAGAACATGACCTCTATTGGAAAGTTTAGATTTAACAGTGCAACTATAAACCCTTCATAGCAGCTGTGTTTGAAATCACTTTATGTGGCTATGGCTTGTACAGCCATTTCTAACGTCCACTTTTTCCAATTCAGTTAGTCTGCCACTTAATGTATTTAGGCATTTATTTGGGTATTTTTGTTAATCACCCCATTCCACACACACACACACACACACACACACACAATAGTTTCCAAGACCTCGACCAAAAACCTAAAAAACACTCTTTTTATTAGAGGGCTATATTGCTTTTGCTAACAGAACACCACAAACTTAACTGGTTACTTATGACGATTGGCCTGTTTTTGTGCTGAGCTAACCCAAGGGTCTGATTGTTTTGCAGGGGCCAGCTCCACCAGCAGTGCTGCGAGGAGTGGACTCAGGTCAGCGAGGAGACACAGGCGAAGATGGCGAGGATGGCTGCTGCGGCCGCCTGGGGTCTAGGTAAACAAAACTGAGTGCACCTTTCCAATTGTACCGAACCAAATCGTTTTGCAATGCTCTTGTTTTTGGTGTTTTTTTCCTGTTTGTTTTTTTTGCTATTACAGCTTCAATATTTATGATGATGATTTTGTTGATAAAGCTGCGGTACCTCCCTTTCAAATCACAAAAAAGGACCTATGCAATGAAATCCACATGTGTCCACTGTCAGAGCAGCAGTGGACACATGTGGTTACAGTCTCCCAGAGCCTAATGCTGCTAATGTACAGATGTAAACATACAACTACATATTTCTTGCACAGTACTTTATACTTGCTTCTTATTATGCCAAATATAGAGATTGTATATTTCTTTATTATGCAAAAGTTAAAGTTTTTGTACTCATTATGCTAAAGTTAGAGATTTTATACGCTTCTTTTTATGCTAGAAATTTTTATGTTCATTTCATTTTATTTAGTATAGAGTCATTGTTCATTTATCTTGTGTGCTTTTCATTCCTACTGTTCTGTAACCGTTGATGCAATATTGAAAGTTCCCCACTGTGGGACGAATAAAGGATTAATCTATTAATCTTTTTCTTAATATCGGCAGTAAACACAACAGTATTCAAATGAAATAGCGATATCATTTGCACAAAAGAATCTTACGTAATGTCCCACCAACGACACTCACAGACAGATGGCACGATGCGAATGAAGAAAAGCAGAGTCTTCGGGAGCTTGTGGTCTGTAGTTTGCTCTTTCCACACGCACTCATAAACTCTGTTATTATCCCCTGGTTGCCGTCTCCTCCATGTATGAGATTTGTTTTACTATTATCAAGGGGCTATAATCATTAACATTTGAACAGGAGCGCATAGTGGGAATGGCTGTTGTTGTCGAATATTGGACCCCTGGTTTCTTTTCATGATATCATTTGTGTTATTAATGTGGTGCTTTGGTCCGAAGGGCACTGGGACAGCATGGAGGAGTACACGTGCATGATTCCCCGGGACACTCACGACGGAGCCTTCTACAGAGCTGTGCTGGCTTTACATCAGGACCTTTACTCCTTAGCACAGCAGGTGGGTGCCATCATTCCCCCTCAGTACCCAGCGGGAAACTTTTCTCACATTAAAGGCACATTAGGATTCTATATTTTCAGTAAACATCGCATAAAGACAGCTCTCGTGAGAAAATGGCTTGGCCTCTGCAAAAGACATTAGACTTTGTAATGAGCAAAGAAAATGTGTGAGAGGAAAAATGAGAAGGCAAGGTCATCTCACAAAGTGCACAGAGCAATCCTAAATAAGCAAAAGTATTGTTATCACCGATATGAATGCAAAAATAATACATATTTTTAAACACTGACAATATAAATTTATCGGAGTAAACTAAAATGAGGAAAAAAAAAAGCTCAAATCATCCAGTTGTGTCTGGAAGGCTGTTTTGTTTAGCCTTGTTGGTCTTTTCTTATGTAACAGTTTTAATTGTCTCCAAACTTATTGGTTAGCCCTGCAGACTGTGGGTTGGTTGGGTTTTCAATGATCTCACAGTCCCTGGAGACGGTTATTCATTCAAACTTGCATTTTGGAAAGAAAAAATGATGCAAGTTAACACCTGCTCATTTGACTTCAGACGTCCACAGAACATTTGCGGGGTACATTGCGCCCCCTCATTCTCAATTTAAAGATTAGATCCAGGTGTGTGTCCATAGGTGGTGGATCAGCTGTATGGGTATGGTAGGCTTGGCAACAATGAGACCACTCAACATGGAGCAGCAAGGAATGAGTAACAGATGGGGCTGGAGTGAAGACTAAAATGTCAACATGAGCTCAGTCTAGTCTTCCGGATGCGGTTGGTAATCCTCGCACTTGAGACTTGTTTGATTTCATCTGCCCGTGTCCTCTCTCCTTACCGTACCCCCAACAGCCACACATGGAGTAACAGAATGTGGACGCGCATTTCAATAGGTTTCAGGTTGCTTTTGTGGTTGTAATGTTTGGTCTGTTCCAGGCATGTTGTGGGGAAACAAATCCACCCACTCGGGCCAAGTTTTTAAAATACATATTCCATTGGCTTGGGGCCATGATTAACTCCAGTCTTTGCTTGGGCTTTACAATAAATGTCTCCATGTCTTGACTCTTGATATAATGCATGACAGATATAAAAGACAGATGTATTAAAGGCATGTTTAATTTATTTCGTCCACAAACAGTATAATATATCATTGGGTGCCTATAAAACAAAAGATAAAATTGCCTCTTAGTCTAACACTCATGAGAACTTGTCACACTGTTCTCTCAACCGTAACTGCATTTCTGTGACCGTGGCCCACTGTACTCATAAATACTATTCAATTCCTATTATAAATCTTCATACTATTAACATTTTTGACATTTACAATCCCGGGCTGGTTTCCACAAATGTAAGACGGTAACGGTTAGTTTGACTCACTATAACTAGCTTTTCTATAATCAGGGTGACAAACGTCTGTAGATTTAGCATATGCTGTTCTGATTAAAAGTTGTACGTCCTAACATTTTTCTTTATTTGGACAATTATCATTATAATTTGACGTTGATAGTTTCAATCTTCTGAGAGCCACAACAATCCAAATGGGACAGATTGTCAGCAAGAGACCTGCGTTAGATAGAGGCGCCTCTGTAAGTGCATGGACTGTTTGTGCTGCTATAGACAGACACTGCATTTATCAGGAGTCGTCTGGGCTGAACTTTTTGGGTACGTGCTCCATTACAAATCTGAGGTAAACAGTCCCAGAGCTGAGTGTAAAAAGTAACAGTCTTTTTGTTACCCAGTCCCCTTGCTACGCTCGCATATGGTTCTCTTGTTTTGCATGTTTGAAAAGGCATGTTTGGCACATTATTGCTGCATTCCCTCCCTACTCAAAAAATAATTGTTGGGTGATAGTCTAAAACAGCTGTTTGTTTGGCCGACAAGGACTTCCCCAGCCAATCCTCTCCTAATAACAGTGTCTATAATATCTGCTATAGACGCACGAGAAATGTACAGACTTATAAAGAATACTGTTGTCTGTCTGTCCCAGATTGGGGTAATCTCAGTTTCCATGACTCCCTTTTGAATGCTTTTTGAATGGTATGTTTTGGGGAATTTTTAAGACAAGTTTGCATAACACCGGCGAATATAGTAATATCTTTTTTGTTCAAGTTCAAAATAATTGCTATTTTTACGCTGCTCATTTAAATAAGTAATGTGCACTAAAAGCTATCAGCACTCCATTATGCAGCGCTGGTAAATCGTTGGCCTCTCAGTGGGTGACAAAAAAATCTTAGCTACATAAGCGATTCTGTTAGTGCTGATTTTATGTTTCAGTATTTAATGTTATTGCTCACTTTTGTAGAAAAGTTTCAATCCAAGCTGTCAAAGTCTACCAAAGTGGTCAGATATACTGTTGAATAATCTGCTTTATTTTACGTTTTCCTTTTGAGAATTTTTTTGATTGATAGTGTCAAGTTAACTTTCATTTTATTAACCTGAATTCTTCCATCTTTTTAGTGCATTGACAAAGCCCGAGACTTGCTGGATGCTGAGCTGACAGCCATGGCGGGCGAGAGCTACAGTCGGGCCTATGGTGTAAGTATTTTTCGGAGACACTCATAATCGTAAAAGATATGGGTTTTTGAAGCACCTCATTTTTCAACCAGATCATTCTACAACAGCAAAGCAGTATTTATCCTTTGATTTGCTCGATTGCACTCACAGATCAAAATCATAAATGTTTCTCCACTTCCATGTGTCAGAATTAACTCTCAAATTAGATTTAGATAATAAATCATTGCACGCTGTCTTGAATCGTCTGCACATCTTCTCCAAAGGCAAAGTAGCAGACAGTGTATCAATGTAGAGTGACAGAAAGCCATTACGTATGTTTTCTCAGTTGCCGCACCAGAGAGGTTGCATGTAATTCCTCTTTTGTATTTCTCATATATTGTCTCATTTACTCGCAGCTGTGAATGTAATGGCGCGTGTAATGTTCTTTTCCAGGCCATGGTGTCTTGCCAGATGCTGTCGGAGCTGGAGGAGGTAATTCAGTACAAGCTGGTGCCCGAGAGGAGAGACATCATCAGGGAGACGTGGTGGGAGCGGCTGCAGGTACTTACACCTCATGATCAATGGAGCCCGCCGCAGGCATGGGGAAAGCTTTGGATGTGTGACAGACAAGTGGGAGATGGGAACCAGTCTTAATTGCATCCTTATAGATTCCCTACGTAGTTGTTCTTGTGTGAGGTCCACTTCCATGCTAACACCCTAGTATTATAACTACTTGTCAATTAGGTTCAGTTGAGTACATTGGGCGTGGAGCCAATCAGGAACCAATCATGGAAATGGCGGAAGTGACAACTTTTTTCAAAACCATCCTTTCCTCGTAAAAATGACTTTATGGTTTAACTAGCAGAGGTTTCAACTGCATATCCACATGGTTTTAATCGGAATTACTTAAATTCTCCTTTCCTTCTCGACCATAGGCTATCTTTGTTGTTATGCTTAATGCAGGATATGATGTTCAGCCTTGCAACTTCTGATCAGCTCGTTTGCATGTGAATAAAGGAGAGGGGGATAAGTAGGTGTCTGTCAAAACCGATTAAATTTCCAAGGAGGTATGTGAAGGCCAAGGTTACCACTTCCTCCTTATCTCCATAGTGATGCAATTTATTTCTCTTTTGATACAAAATCACACACTAGGCCTGGAATGCTCCACTTTATGGTATTAAGCTCTTCAATCTTGCATTAATTTCCATTAAGGGTTTTAAAACCCTTTCAACATTTTGCATTGGAACATTAAAGAGCTGACCTGTCAGCCAGTGTCTAATGAAGCCAATGGTTTCTTCATTCACACATGGCAGTATACACGCTGATATTTTTACCACCTGTTTATGACCTAACGCACATTAAGTAATCAAAAGCACAGAGGTTGCTGCACCTGTAGAATCTGCTTCTCTGTACCAACAGCCAGCTAACCTGCACTTAGCACTAGTGTAGATCCTTGAAAGTTCATTTTTGACTGCATGCATCCAAGCAATCTGCATTAGCGGCTGATTGAAAAGAACTTAGCTGTCAGATCTGACCTGTTTGGCTAGATGACACCACCTGCTTTTCTCTTGGTGTTGGCCTTTAAGCACATTCATATCAGGGAAATAAATATGACAAACAAAATAAAATATACTTTGACAATAATAACCCAATAATCAATTTCAGTATATTTTTCTCTTATTATAATATATCTTGAAAAAGATTAAAATTGTTGAACACTCAAAGGCTTATTTTAGACTGAACTGTTATTTTCTGTACAAATGGCATTGCTTACGTTTGGAAACCCACACCGAAGCTCCATCTTTATTCTGCTCAAGCCAATTTTGATTGTTCTCATTATCATCATTAATAGTGAATAAGCTTGTAGTTGTTGTTAAATGAGACGGGAGAATGTACTATAAATCTAATGTTTGGTCAGAGAAAAGCCCTGCTAAGAGTACTTAATGATGTGTTTTTAGCCACAGACTCTGGCCACTGTGTTGCACTTGTCCTGCTTGATCTAACCGCAGCCTTCGACACAATAGATCATCAGATACTTCTGTCTCGCTTGGAGAGCTGGGTGGGAATTCGTGGTAGTGCCCTTAAGTGGTTTAGGTCCTACCTTACGCACAGGAGTTTTTGTGTTCGAATCGGAGATGTAGAGTCCGCCACTGCTCCCATAAAATATGGTGTGCCCCAGGGCTCTATACTTGGCCCTCTTCTGTTCTCACTATACCTCCTGCCACTCGGGTCCATCTTGCGTAAGCACAATGTTGCTTTCCATCTCTACGCTGATGACAGCCGGATTTATTTACCGTTGGAACATGGCAATGGATATTGTACAAAGCAACTTTTGAAGTGTATTGAGGAAGTTCATGAATGGCTGTCACTAAATTTTCTACATTTAAATGACAAAAAGACTGAGGTCTTGCTGCTCGGCCCAAAAGATGCCCCCTCCTCTTTTGTGGATTTGGGTCCTTTAGAAGAATACTTAAAACCAACTGTGACAAACCTCGGTGTGAAGCTGGACAGTGCTCTGAAGCTTGTCGTTCAGATCAGATCTGTTGTAAAGTCCAGCTTTTATCAGCTCAGGCAACTGTCCAAAGCAAAACCATTTGTTCCTCAGCATTTATTTGAGATCTTAATTCATGCTTTTATCACAAATCGTTTAGACTATTGTAATGCACTTTATTTTGGACTCAATCAGTCGTCTCTCGCTCGACTTCAACTTGTACAAAATGCTGCTGCTCGCCTTTTAACTGGCACCAAAAGGCGAGAGCACATTACACCTGTTTTGAGGTCACTGCACTGGCTCCCTATTTCATATCGTGTTGAGTTTAAGATAATTTTATTTGTTTTTAAATGTCTTCATGGTCTTGCTCCTCAGTATCTGTCTGACCTGTTGCAGCCCTATACCCCTGCACGCTCCCTGAGGTCAGCAGATCTGTCTTTGCTGGTTGTTCCCAAAACAAAAAGAAAAACCAGAGGCGACCGTTCTTTCGCTGTTGCTGGTCCTAAACTGTGGAACGCACTGCCCCTGCACCTCAGACAGACAGAGTCTCTTGTTCCTTTTAAATCCTCTCTTAAAACACACCTTTTTTCCTTGGCTTTTAACACAACCTGAGAAGTTCGACTTTGGAATGTTTTGTACTTTTGTTTTTACTGTTTTATTAATGTAATCCTCATTGTTGTGTTCAGCACTTTGGTTGACGCTGTTGTTTTTAAAGTGCTTTATAAATAAAGTTGGATTGGATTGGATTGGATTGGATTGATACCCAAGAAGAGACGTCTCATTTAACATAAACCACCACCTCTAATATTTCCTTGTCAGGGCAAAACCACAGTTGCCAGCTTGCTAAAGCTGCTTTGGCTGTTTTAAGAGCAGGCCTTATATCAATGCAAGTATAAAAACTATAAAAATCCATTGTATAGTTGAATATTAAGGGAAACTGTACATTTGAAGTCCATTTAATCCTGAGAGTAATCTGTGCTGCTATAACTATTACCATTACTCTTACTACTATAATTGTGAATACTATTTCTAAAATGTAATTCGGTTAGATTGAGATTAGTTATACAAAGATCTTCTAAATGTTTTTTTGTTTTAATTATTCTGATTAGTTGAAAGTTTGTTCGTGGTTATAGTTACAACTAGTTGCATTTCTTCACATCCAGTTAAGATGTTACACAAATTAACATTGAATATTAAGTTTTGTTTTTACAAAGCTATAAATACATTAACAGTGGAATGGAAACGGTTACGCAGATTAGTATGCTATTTAACACTGACCCTCTTCATTTTTTTTCCATTCATAAAAGTGTAGGGCAGGTCACAGAGGGTACGCGAGTTTAAAGGGTTTTCCTCAAAGCTCAGGTCTGCTCTGAAGCAGGTTGCTCTTGGCTTGATTTATTTGAGACAAACCCCCACACATGTGTTAAGTCATTCGCCCATTCAAGTGGTCGACTCGGCCTCACCTCAGGCATGTAAAAGGATCAGCCCCTGACTGTTTTTGTTTGGAAAAGTCTGTCTTTCAATGTGTTTAGCTTGTGTACTGAAGTGAAGTGAGTTACGGAAAATCAAGTCGCAATGGCACCAAAACCTTTCATGCTGTACTGTTGAAATTTTGTGCGTTTGTGTTTGTTTTATGCTTACCACAAGAGAAGCACTGGTACTACGTTTTGGTATATGATACGGCTGCCTATAGTGAATATTGAAATATAATGGATTTCTGTTGGATTGTATTGGGAGATGTTAAGCCATTATCCTGATTAGGTCTTTTGTGTAATGACCTTGATGTAATGATACTAATATTTTATTTATTTATATCTGCAGTGTATCTTTTCTATATACTCAAAGACACTGCTCAAAAGTAAGATGACAAAAAACACATAATACACACAAAACAATAACAGCACAGACTAATAATTCTGAACAGATGGGTGCAAAGGTTGAAGGCACGAAGGATGTAGCAGGCCCAGTCTCCCCAGGTTCTTGGTCCTACAGATGAAGGTCAGGAGGTTAGCCTCAGAGGAGCAGAGGCAGATGGAGTTTGGTGACGTAGCCGCTGAGCCAGTGAAGGTCTTGGAGGGCAGGGGTGATGTGTTCAATTGTTGATGCTCATGAACTCTTGTCTGTTTGTAAGATTCTAGCCAGGACAGAGCAGATCCAGTATGTTGAGGCAAGTCTGGACCAGGGCGTTCTAGCTAAATTGCAGCCAGGAAAGTGTTTTGACTCATACAAGGGTATTCTGTCTTAACTCGCAGGATAGATAAAACACATTTGGACCAATTCTGTAATATGTTTACTGTGATTTGATTTTTTCAATCCATTTCTGCTATCTTTTCACGCACTCAGTCAACCTAATCTTGGTCAGAACGTGGTTAGGGCATGGTTGGGGAAAAGTAAACGAAAGGGTACTGATGTAACAAAGGAAAAATGTGAATGGAAAAATCAGTCACAGATGCCTTCCTACCAATGGCATCTGCATGTTTTCAGATCAACAAAACAAATCGTCAACACAAAGTAAATTTTTTTAATGACCCTTTACTCTGACAACCTTATCAACATGTCGGGTTTATTTATTTAGATGCACATGGGATGATGTTAGTTTTACATTCTGAAGATTTCACTTGTTAACAAAAGGCTGAAAAATGATAAAGCTTTCAGTGTATGTTATTAGTCAACTTGTCAAACTAATTATTCTACTGTTTATTCAGGTTCATGAACATGTTCTATGTAACAAAAGTGTTATATTGGTCAAAAAAAAAACACCATGGGGCATTTTTTATGACATGGTTTTGTTGAGGCCCCTCTCCTCTCATGTGAGCTCATTCTCATGTGACATTGTTTTATGGACAGTGACTGCTGCTGGCTGTAAAGATACCTGGGAAGTTTTACAGCGTCTCTTTGTCACGCCTGTTCATTCTCTCAGTTTAAATGCTTCTGTTTGAACTGTGCAGTAATGTGTTTGACCCTGCTCCTCATGTTTGTGTGTGTCGTCTTTAGGGCTGTCAGAGGATAGTGGAAGACTGGCAGAGGATCCTGATGGTGAGGTCTCTGGTCATCAGTCCACATGAAGACATGAGGACATGGCTCAAGTATGCCAGCCTCTGCGGCAAAAGCGGACGTTTGGTTAGTCATCATCTAAACAAAGAATTTATTTAATTTACACCATATTTTCTATGGATTTCTTGTTGAGCTTCACAATGAGGACAGGATTTTTGACCCTCGTATCCACCAAACTGAGCCCAATTGTAATAAGTCTCGTACTGTATATAATTGGTTCTACTTGATTCTATCTACATTCTAGTCAGGTTTTGATTCAGTATCAATAACTCAATGTCAACTTGACTTAAATGTCAAGTTCAGACCAACGTTTTAGGCCAAGGCTAAAATGATGGACTAGACAGTTTAAATTATACAAAATGGGGCAAAAATATGTGGTCAGGGCCCTACATATGTCCGTATAAGTTTGAAATAACAGCAGGATTTATTTGCATGTTGGTCATTTGTTTTTTTTAGTTGATTTAGTCCCATTTAGCCTTAAACCTCAGAAGGTAGTGGTTACAATCACCCATACCATTAACTGGACTCTTACGCTATTAATTTGACCTCCATAGCTTTCTAGAAATTTAAACTAGCATTCTGATTAGGTTCAACTCCAGCTGTCAAAGTCAACATTACCTGAGCCTGGATGTAGAAGCCTGGAGGCACTGTTTAGAAACACGAGCACCCCCGTAACTTTTCAATCAAAGTGCAATTTAACGGAGTCTGCTGGGCTGTAGTAATTGATTGCAAGAAATCTCTGACAATTATTCCTTCTGCCCGGGCTCAAGTTAACTCAAGGCAAATCTCAATGACTAACAGCACTGCTCAAGAAACTGGATAAACAGCCTTATATCAGTATCTTCCTTTCCCTGTCCCTCTCTGCTGCTGTAGATTTCACTCAGTTATTTATTGATGTAGAAATAGTAGTGTTGTTGTTCTAAATCTCTCTGTTGAACTCTTACCTAGGCTCTGGCTCATAAGACTCTGGTGCTACTACTCGGAGTGGACCCCTCGAAGCAGCTGGATCACCCACTCCCAACGGCACACCCCCACGTCACGTACGCCTATATGAAGTACATGTGGAAGAGTACTCGTAAGGTAATGGATCCACTTGCCATGTGTTTCTGACAAATTTTCCAAGTCAAATTACATTGTTTTATCAGTGTCAGTTTCTCCAACCTTTGGGTTTATGGACAAGTGCTGTTATTTTGTCATGTTTGTAATAAGGTTAAATATTCCTTTTCTTAGCATTGGCCACAAATGGTAGCATCTGAATGTTATTAGCATTTATTAGACATAAAATCAGTTCATATTATTGCAACCTAATTCTGCATCTGAAATGGGTGTGTTCCTTGTAAAAATATGTTGTCAATCTGACCAAGGCACATTACATTTGCATTAAATAAGTGTTTTTTATGTCATTTTGAGTGTGGCTGTCACCATAGTGTACACACCCAAGGGCCTTTATATTATGACCCAAATCACACTCAAGCCATGCTTGGCGTTTATTAACACATGTTAAATATTCTGTTGAAAGTATTTGTTGGTGATTTTATTAAAAGACTTATGTAAGTGTTACTGTAGGAACAGCTGATCTCTCATCCAGCTGCACCTTTCAACAGTGCAGTGTATAAAAAATAGTAACAAGACAAATACTGTATATACAGGGGACAAGGACCCTCCATTGTTTTTACTAGTTTTTGATGAATAGTCTCTCAAGGAAAATGGTAAATACAATGTCATCATTTGGAAATGACAATCTTATGTTAGCTAGGATACGTACTTTAGCTTGATTTAAATGGTGACAAGCTTTGCTTCTCCGGAGGTACCCACATCAAATGCGCTTGATACCCTCTAATGAAGAACATCAATCCTTTTGCTTGGTATAGAATCAAATTGTGTTTTATGGTTCTAGTGGTTTTGCCTGTTTACAAAATCAGACCAGTCATTATGGCACAGTCGAACTACTCAAGTAAAGGTAAACTGTAAACTAAAAATGTGCAATTTACTACAATGTTTTTGATAATCATGTTAATATAAATTTTCCATTACACATTTGTTTATGCTTACCGAACAGCTAATACACTTTGCTGGAAGAGATCTCTTTTCCAAGCACAACAAACCGACAAACCTGTCATGGTTAATGTCATTTTTTTTCTCTATTTTCAGATTGATGCTTTCCAACACATGCAACACTTTGTTCAAGGCATGCAGCAGCAGGCGCAGCACGCCATCGCCGCCGAGGACCAGCAGCATAAGCAGGAGCTCCACAAACTCATGGCCAGGTCTGGAACTTGGAATCCCCTTCAGTGCAATACATTTAATCTCACCATCTCAAGGATCAATCAGACACGTTTCATTGTTTGGACATAAATAATTCGGATCCAAAGTTTCTGTCTGGTTTTAAACTTCCTCTTATCTTCCCACTCGGATGCACTGATAGATTTCATTCTGTGGCCTTGGTTTTCTTGGCTTTTCTCAAACACCAGAGCCTCCAAAGGTTATTCACAGTCTGTCAGATTTGCCAGAAGTATTGCCAATGAGTCATTATGCTTTTTAGCTGTGGTCCAGTGGTGTAAAGCCCAACACATTCCAGTTCGATGGGGAAAACACACCACAACCTGCTCAAGAGTGGAAATGCAGTGTTTGGTGCCCTTCTCTTGTAAATAGTGAGGGTCAGGTACAGTCCATTCTGTTCCTTTCCGTCCAAATGATCTAACCGTCCATAGTCCTGCCGCTGTCTCGTCTCACACCTTTTTAGTTTCACAGTTAGCTTTGGCCACTTACTCTCAAGCTTTGGCCACTTACTCTCCAAATTTGGCAAAACACTTTAGATAGGAATGTTATTAGGTGACAGACATGTTTTTAGCATCACACATATTTAGTTGAAAACTTCCAAACCAACCAATTACAATTTGAAATACATAATTATATATTTGTCATCCCAAGAGTGCATCAACCAGAATTTGCTGTGATTTAAAAGTGATGAGGTAAAGTACTGAAATGATGGAAAACTAAGCATCACATCAAAATGAGTTTAGAAACAAAAGCAGTCAGCATTGTTATTGTTCTTGGCTTGAGTCAGTTTTCATGTTCAATAGCCAAAGTGCCTTTGGGAAAGGCACCCCAACAAACTCCACTTTTAACAACTTATAAATTGAGATTTGATAAACAGATGGGAATTGACTATTGACTCTCAAACAACTTGGAGCTGACGTGGAAGTTTAAGTCTGCTGAGGTTTGGAATATTGTTATTGTTTATATTTCTGATTCCAGTATCAATTAGAGTACATGCTACTGGTTAATACACTGCACTTACAGTATGTATGTGGTTGTTGCTACTGTTTAACAATACCTTGTAACTTCTTGATGCTATAAAATACGTAATATAATAGTAATGCCACTATGTAATTGTAGCTACAGCTCAATTGTGAGTTTTAGTGTAGCATCAACAAAACAATGATTTTATAAAATAATACAGAGCCTGTAGTTGACCCATGGCTGAAGTCTGCTGCAGCAGATGGCTATAATAATCACTACAGTAAAATGCAGTTATCTCCTCTGGCCTGCGCTCACACGAGCGTCTCGTGCGCCCACTATTCATAAATCATACATGACAACACACAATTGTGACACAGCCCTGAAGACTTTGTTTTTGTAGTTAAGTGTCGACAAGAATTTTAGTGTCTGACAAATATTGGGAAACACCTGACGTAGCAGAGTGACACACTTTCTGCAGGTACAGAGCACACCTGGTCAAGTACAGCTGCACAACTCAGAAAGAATTAGCTGCTTCTAATTTTAAGATATATTTTTATAGATTTGATGGATTTGTTATGGAAAAAGTTGAACTACACTTAATTTTATTTTACCGATAAGAAGACAAGAAACAAGATGTAAAATGTTCTCTACCTGAATGGAAAATCATTTAGAACAATGTACAGAACAAACTTCCATTAATACCCAGTCAGGCTTTGGCTCTAGACAAAACCGTGTAAGTGGGCTGTTGTATAGAGGTGATTATATCTTGGCTGAAGCAGTGCAGACTTTTCCGGCTGCGTCCCTGTGGGTGTCTGCGTTTATAAGATTATGGTTGAATCCATAATCTGTGTGGTGCCACAGGGCTCACTGTCAAAGTCCATTGAAAAAAGTGGTTTGAATAATTTAATCCAAATTTGATCCTAGGACGTTTGCTGCTTCAGTGAAGTACAACATTCTTATATTTTTTCCTGAAGATTTAATTTTCAGGCCCAGTTAATAGTACTAAAGGATTTACTACCTACATTTGAACTGTCAAGTCAAACCCAGGGCCTTCTTTCTGAAAGGCACCACTTCAACCACTGCGCCACTGTCATTGGTCATAGCTCAGATTCCATATCTTATGTAATACATAAGATCTGCAGTATGTACATATCTTATCCCATTTCACTTGTTTTGGACATATAGTAATATTGACACAAGTTTTATTAATTGTCCTGCATTTTAGCACTGTGGGCTTTGCCACATCCTAATAGACAATTTCTCTTTGGTACTAGACGCACTTCTACAATACAAATTAAATTGTTTTTATCTGATGGACATCTGCAACATGTGGCATCACTTGTAGCTGCCTGATTCTAGTAAGAAACACATCCATCTCCCGCAGTAATTTTGGTGTTTTACAAATGTGCATTGTCTCAATCCTGAAAAACAGAAAGTCGTAGCGAAAGTATAAACACATCTCTCTTTTCATCATTTTGAATTGAAATGTTAATTCTTAGCTACCATCTCTTTTGGCAGATGCTTTCTGAAGCTGGGCGAGTGGCAACTTAGTCTCCAGGGCATCAACGAGAGCACTATTCCCAAAGTTCTGCAGTATTACAGCCATTCCACCGAACATGACCGCAACTGGTACAAGGTCAGTCCTGCCCCTTGTCTCTTGCCTTTCACACCTGACTCCAGAAAACTTTCACACCAGTGAGAAAGACCACATCGCCTTCTGACACTCATACTGCACGTAAGAGAATTGTCAAAACACGTTTGTATGTAGTGTAAAACACTAGTCATTTTCCCCTCTAATTGAACTCTTATGTTATAATCTTTTGAACATGTGAGGTGATGGAAGGGTTGAAGATGTCTTTTGCATGTTCCCAATCATTTCCACACTCCAGGCTACAAAGATGTTGCTGTGATCTTTGTATCCATCTTCACTAGCTCCTACAAGGCTTTCAACTTTCCTCCACTGTTACATAACTTAACAAACCGCAAATACACGTGTTTGGAGTACAAGACTTTTCCCAAGGAGACATCTTTTGTAAACTTCTTAAGAAAAACAATACGTAGACTTTATGCACAAAACTTAAAAGGTCTGCTTACCATTAAGTGGAAAGGGAAGAATTTATATTTTACCCAACAGTCATCTGGACAAGTTTGACTTCTGAAACTTGCTTTGAAATGAATGACTACTGGATTGAAAAAAATAAAACAATTACACTGCTTAATAAAACATTTCCCATTTAAACATATGCTTTCAAGGACTGTAATTTGTTTTACATGCATACCATTTATGACCGAAAGTTAAAAATGAAGTCTGTATCAAGAACAAACTTAATTATTGCTTTCTAATAATGCTTATTTGCTGCAGGCCTGGCATGCCTGGGCAGTGATGAACTTTGAAGCCGTTCTCCACTACAAACATCAGAACCAGGGACGAGACGAGAAGAAGAAGCTGCGACACACCAGCGGAACCAGCGCCAACAGTGAGGGTAGCAACAGCGACAGTGAGGTGGACAGCACTGACCACAGCCCTGTGCCCTCCCCTGGTCAGAAAAAGGTCAATGAGGTGAGGAAAATCAGACAGCTGAATTGTTTTAAGGCTGGAGTACCTAACTTTGAAACCACAACAAATGAAATGTACATGCAATATCTTGTAACTAAGCCTGGATTTTAACAATGTTCACATGCATTTATGTTTGACCTCTGTCACATCTTTAGATCAGCTTTTTCAGTGAAAAAGAGAGTACCAACCCCTACTCAGCCAATCAACTCTCGGTATGTAAAAGATCAAATGCTTTCTAATAAGGTGAGGATGTTGTGTTCTGAATTGTGAAACAAACAAATAAAAGTTAGTTACTCCAGCTCTCTAAACCTTTGTTTTTGTATTAATGTAAGAAGAAGAATTAACCTTTTTCCAAGTAATGAAGTAAAAGATGGCCTGCCAGAACATTTTCTAAAATAATCTCTAAATATTAACACGTCAATGGCAGTGGCAAATACCAAGAATTTCAGAAATGCATCAACAAAGCAGAGCATATAGACTGCTGCAGGGGCCATATACAATGTTTGAAGAATATCCCACTGTGTTTTTATTTGTTACTTTATATATCGATCTGTGTTGACCAGGACCTCTCCAAGACATTGCTGCTGTACACCGTGCCTGCGGTCCAGGGTTTCTTCCGCTCCATTTCTCTGTCCAGAGGCAACAACCTGCAAGACACACTGAGGTCTGACCACACAACGCTAATCTTATACATGGGTTTTGGTTTAGTGAGGAAAAGGAGACCCCTAGTGGTTGATATGCTTACATTTAGACTGATATTTTATAATTATAACTCAGGATTTTCACATGTTTTGTCTGTTAGGGTGTTGACCTTATGGTTTGACTATGGTCACTGGGCTGACGTGAATGAGGCTTTAGTAGAAGGCATAAAGACGATTCAAATTGATACATGGCTTCAGGTATGACACATTGTATGACACATTGTATATTGTGTATTTTTTTCAAGAATACAAGTTGTTTCAGAGTTGTTTAAGAATAAGAGTAAAAGGTCATTTTTTTAATGCGCCTGCAGGTGATCCCTCAGCTCATTGCTCGCATTGACACTCCTCGCCCACTAGTCGGACGTCTCATTCACCAGCTGCTCACAGACATAGGAAGGAATCATCCTCAGGTCAGACTCTCGAGAAAATAAATGCAAGGAATTTCTGCTGTTTATTTATGTTTTGTTCTGCTCTTTGTGTTGAAAGGCATTGATTTATCCGCTCACTGTGGCATCCAAGTCTACCACTACAGCTCGCCACAACGCTGCTAATAAGATCCTGAAGAACATGTGTGAACACTGCAATACTTTGGTGCAGCAGGCTATGATGGTACTTCTCCCTCTATTTTTGCTCTCACGAATACAGAGATGTCAGTTCAATTCAATGTCCAACGGGAAGAGAAAGGGTTTTGTTCAGACCACCGGTTCAACAACAATCTGAAAGATAATCTCGGGAGATGCTGCCATCCAAAAAGAATAGAAATCATACTGAGCTTTCCCATATATGTCTCACTCTCAATTGAAAATGAGCTGAAAAATTGGCATTATGTATTTATTGGCAAAACAATTTCATTTCCATAGCACTATTCATACACAGGGAAACTCAAACTGCTTCACAAAAACAAAAACAAAAAATAACTATCAATGAAGAATACATGTAATCCTTCAGTTGTACGCAGAGCTACACAGAAGTATAAGCCTGTCTATAAATCTGTTTAAAACTGAAACCTGCCTCCCACCTGTTGACTGTGGGAACCAGCAGGAGGAAATAATGATATAGGAAATAATCCAAGTGAATGTAGATTGTGATGATATTGGACTGATTGAACCTAATTTATGAACTTCATTTCTCTAGGTGAGTGAAGAGCTTATCCGAGTTGCCATTTTGTGGCACGAGATGTGGCATGAAGGCCTTGAAGAGGCGTCGCGGCTTTATTTTGGAGAGCGAAACGTGAAGGGCATGTTTGCAGTGCTCGAACCACTTCATGCAATGATGGAGAGGGGACCCCAGACCCTCAAAGAAACCTCATTCAATCAGGTATGTTCCCGCTCATAAGTTTGTGTTTGTGTTTGCATACTATGACATTCAGTTTTATCAATCAATCAATCAAGTTTATTTATAAAGCACAATTCATGCAGTGCAGCCCAAAGTGCTTCACAAGAACACAAGATCATACACATTTACAAACATTTTAAAACACATAAAACGTAATATAAAATAATAACAAAAACAATAATAATTGTTGCATAAAAATAAACATTTCAAACTGAATTTCAGAATTAAAAACGGTATAAAAAGCTCAATATATAAAAGTCAGTCATATACACAGCTAAAAAGAACGGTTTTCAGCTTAGACTTAAATAATGCTAAAGATGAGGCCTCCCGTACATCCTCAGGAAGGCTGTTCCAGATTTTTGGGGCATACACCTGAAATGCAGCCTCTCCATGCCTAGTCCGGACTCTGGGCACCATCAGGAGTCCAGTCCCTGTGCTCCTCAGAGTCCGAGTTGGCTCATACGGCACCAACATGTCACCAATGTACTTCGGTGCAAGACCATGTAGAGACTTGTACACAAGCAGAGCTGCTTTAAAATCAATTCTCTGAGCCACAGGAAGCCAGTGCAGAGACCTGAGGACTGGACTAATGTGGTCGTACTTCCTGGTTCTAGTCAGGACTCGAGCTGCTGCATTTTGAATGTACTGCAGCTGTTTTACAGCCTGTTTGGACAGACCTGTGAGCAGGCCATTGCAGTAGTCTAACCTACTGGAGACAAATGCATGGATAAGTTTTTCCATATCTGATTTAGACAACATATTTTTAATTTTGGCAATATTTTTTAGATGATAGAAGGCTGCTGATGTTATAGATTGTATGTGCCTATCAAATTTAAGGTCAGAGTCCATTACTACCCCAAGATTTCTTACTTCATTTGTTGGTTTTAAGGAGAGAGACTGGATGTAACTGTTAATACTTTCTCTTTGTTTTTGTGGGCCAAAAACAATAACTTCAGTTTTATCTGGGTTAAGTTGAAGGAAATTGTTTTGCATCCACTCACTGATCGTTTGAATGCACTGGCAGAGGGAATGTATTGGTCCATATTCCCCTGCAGTAAGTGAAACATATAATTGGGTGTCATCTGCATAATTGTGATAGGACACATTGCTTCTGTGGATTAGCTGGCCTAGTGGCAGCATGTAGATATTAAATAGGAGAGGCCCCAGGATTGACCCTTGGGGCACTCCACATGTCAGTGCCATATGATCTGAAGCACAGTCTCCTATTTCTACAACATACATTCTGTCCTGCAGGTAGGACCTACACCAATCAAGGGCAGTACCAGAAATACCCACCCACTTTTCCAGTCTCTCCAAGAGGATTTCATGATCAACCGTATCAAAGGCCGCACTCAAATCTAATAGAACTAACACTGAAGTGTTCCCAGCATCAGTGTTCAGTCGAATATCATTAGTCACCTTTATTAGTGCAGTCTCAGTGCTATGGGACGGTCTAAATCCAGACTGATGCACATTGAATATGTTGTTGACTAACAAAAAATCCATGAGTTGTTGATGAACAACTTTTTCAAGTATCTTTCCCAGAAATGGCAGATTTGAAATTGGTCGATAATTTTGCAGTACTGTGGCATCAAGACTGCTTTTCTTTATAAGAGGCCTGATGACTGCGACTTTAAGAGCCGCAGGGAAAGTTCCTGATTGAAGGGATAAATTGATTATTTCAGTGAGGACTGAGAGAAAACTGCCTACCACTAACTTAAAAAACCTAGTGGGCAAAACATCAAGGCTACAAGTTGACGTGCTCATGCTGGAAACTATATTCTGGACTGTATTGTTGTTGACAGTAAGGAAGTTAGGGAAATCATACTCTCGAGTTGGATTTAAGATAGGTGAGTTTTTTATGCATGAAGTGGACCAATACAAACAAAAAGTACTCCAAGTACTGTGTTTTTTGGTCACTCAAGAAGCCAAAAAGCTGGAGTAATAATACTTCTAATAAATGTGATAGATTATCTAACAGTTCTAGCAAAGGTTATGTTACACCACCGTGTATATATAACACCAGGATATCCCCTCAAGATGTAAATAAGCTCAACAATAAAATAAGTGCAAGTCAGGACAAGCATTTAAAAATCATTATTATTCATTTAACTTGAGTGTGGCCATAAAGACAGGATTATTTTGATAGCCATGTCTCCAGGCAGACTGAATTAACAGATGTGCACCATTTCATTTGGGATCCTTAATAATCCCAATTGGGACGTTGATATTAAAAGCCTTGACATTTAGTTTTTATTGTTTGGTTTTGCCTGGCTGTGCTCATTTAGCAGAGGGCGAGAGCAGCAGAGTTAAATCTGTTTGTCTTGTGTTGGTGCAGGCATATGGCAGGGACCTGATGGAGGCGCAGGACTGGTGCAGAAAGTATATGCGCTCTGGAAATGTCAAAGACCTGACTCAGGCCTGGGATCTGTACTACCACGTGTTCAGACGCATCTCCAAGCAGCTGCCACAGGTACGGCACAAGCACACATTTAATTCAATTTGATTTATTTTTGTATAGCCCTAAAACCACAACAGTAGTTCTCTCGGAGGACAGTTCAAACACAAGCAAAGCAATGATAAAAAACGCACAGAGCCATTAGTCCATGAGGGGCGGATGACCAATCTACATAAATCTCAGTGAATGTGGCGTCTCCTGGATCATTACTACTGTCTTTGGCAAGGAAAAAAAAAAAAAATTAATCCACACAGAAGGAGTTGAAGAAAGCACAATTCTTTTAGACTACTGTGTGCTCTCTTCATATTGAGGACCCCCTCGAAAATGAGATGGTTTATCTCAAGGGGCTTATCCTCTAAATAAATAAATAAATAAATAAATAATAGAATAAATAAATATTATTAGAACTTTTTACAAATATGCAAAAGAGTCATGTAAGTCACTATACCTTGGGCATGAGATTGGTTGACCACGGGTCTTCTATATTTTTTACTTTTTAACTTTTTAATGAAGAAGCTGAAGCTAGAAGCCAACATAAGCTTCAAACAAGTTAGATGGTTAAGTAAGTAATCTTTATTTATATACCGCCTTTCACAGACCAGAGTCACAAAGCGGTTTACAATTGTTTTTTTTTGGGCACTTGTCCTCTCACTCCACACAGAGGTGGGAGCGGGGTTGCCAGTGCAGGAGGCGCATGCCACACCTATTGTACATGTTTTTAGTGGTAGGGGAAACCGGAGCACATGGAGGAAACCTACGCAACATGGGGAGAACATGCAAACTCCACTCAGAAAGGCCCTGTTCCGACTGGGATTCGAACCCAGGACATTCTTGCTAAGAAGCGAGAGTGCTATCCACTCAGCCACCGTGCCCCCCCATTTTATTCGTTTGAACATTTTTGGCTTTTAAGTGTGGGTGGTTTCTGTCTGAAAAAAAAATGTGAGAGGTCAAAAACGCATTCATTTGAAGACTCTTGGAACCAATCTGTTTTGACAGAGAGTTAGACCAGTTAAATTGATTTAATTTGAAATGAGTTTGAAAGTTGGGTACCCTAGCTTTAAGAGGACACTAATTTCTGCATAGAGCCATATGTTGTGTCAAACTGGGGTCATTTTTTGCACGCTATATCAGACATTTGTTTGTGCAATTTCAAACATGACAACCACTTGACATTTCGTCCATCACATCCTCTCCATCTTGTCCCCGCACAGCTCACCTCCCTGGAGCTGCAGTATGTCAGTCCCAAACTGCTTATGTGCCGTGACCTGGAGCTAGCTGTACCAGGGACATATGACCCCAACCAGCCAATCATCCGTATCCAGTCCATCGCCCCCTCTCTGCAGGTCATCACCTCCAAGCAGCGCCCACGCAAGCTCACCATCATGGGTAAGGCTATTAGCAGAAATCTATGTTGGCCTTGTAGCTCCCAAACCATTAGAATAGAAAAATAGATTAAAGATAACTTTCAGCTTTTGCTATGAACCAGCTCCTGCACTCCTTTTTCACAATTACTTATGGCACATTTTTTTAACACGCAAACAAGTAATGAAAACGGCTGTTCCTAATGGGCATGATAACACATTTGAATATAAATGAGCTGAAAGAAAGGCAGATGGGAATATTTGTTTTATACAGCATGGAACGCAAACAGACTTCTTGTAAATAGATGGACTTGTACAGTCAACCATGAATAATGGATTCATGGGTTATTTTTTCTGTATGTTACATGAGAACAAGGATAATCTGATTAGCTCGCTGTGTCACCAAATGCATGCTTTGTGAACTCTCTTAAGACGAGACTCATTTATATGTACAACACCCGCATTCATAGTTTTCATATTATGAGTGTATAATTGTAACGATCCAATTATGTTTCAACACAAATGGACAATTTCCTTTACCCACAATTTAAGAAAGAAAGTCTATTCATGTGACTAAATCCATTGCAATTTTAGATGTTGTGTCTGACTCGCCGAGCATTCACAAAAGTGCCTCTTGTTCTATTGTCATCTATGGAGATTATTTTTTGCGTTGATTTTTTTCGGAGAAGACGATTTTGTTCCGTTTATTGTAAACACATTGAATTGCTTGGAAAATATCTCCTTAAATCTCTGGTCTTGACAACATTTAAACAAAATATTCATATCTCCAGCACAGACTATTCTGCTGTAGTGACTACAAGGTCATAAACTATAGAAAAAATCAATGCCATTGCCACATTGAAATCCCTGTAAAATGGCAGAGCACTTAAAAGTCACCTTGTCTGGAAGCCAAATTCCTCTATTATCAATCACAAGTGGCTCACTTCTCTCCGCACCTCTCCACTTGACAACGTGCCGCCTTGTTCCTCTGTATCCCATCAGTGCTACACAATGTACTCTGTAAAAGATGATGGCCAATAAATCAAATGACCTCCGGAGCAAGAGCGGAGATTAAGGGCTGCCGTGTACTAGACACCCGTGAGATTTAGAGTCACACAAGTGTCCCTCCAGCAACACACGGCGCAATGATGCAGCGGCCTGGACAAACGGGGCCAGATATACATCTCCTTTGCCACGGGTCCATTAGGACAAGTATTGTCTTTATTAAAAAGGAAGACACTGGAAGACTTACAATGAAATCATTGCAAGCTGCAAGTTACTGAAATGGTTGTGCAAACAGTTACATTCAGATCTTTTACAGAATTGGGTTGAAAGTGTCGAGGAGTAATATGTTACATTTTGCCATAGAATTGGAAAGTTTAGGCACCTATAAAATCTATTCTTTTATGTATTATTGTGCAAAGAGCCATGCAGTCTTTTCCTATCTGTTAAAGTTATTTTTGTGTGTGTGTTTTGTTAATCTTGATTTTCCATCGTTCTGTCAAATATGAAATATCTTGATAAAGATGTAAAGAGAAAAAGTACACAATTATATTCATATTCTGAACTAAAAAATGCAGTGTTCCACCAATTTATCACAGCACTTTTAGAGAGTACATCTGCATTCTCTCCAAAAGTGTATAAAACATTAAATGGTCCATATAAAATGAACAGCCTGAGGAGCAGTTTGGAAAGAGGAGTTGAGAAGCGCATCTGTGTAGCAGCAGGTTACAGGAAGAACTCCGCTGAAACTTTACACTCTAACACTTTTGGAGGTTTCAAAGACCAAACTAATGCTGCTGTTGTGTGGCGCCCTCTACAGGCAGCAACGGCCACGAGTTCATGTTCCTGTTGAAGGGCCACGAGGACCTGAGGCAAGACGAGAGGGTGATGCAGCTGTTCGGGCTCGTCAACACGCTCCTGGCAAACGACCCTGCTTCCCTGCGCAAGAACCTCAGGTAAATGGCCCACATTCAGCTGGACTTGTTCAATACACTCAAGTCACTTGAAGGACACATCATCTGAAAATTAAGGTTTTTTATACCATGTGATAGCTTTTCTGCATCATCAAAACATATCTAGATTTGTTTTTACCTCCATCCAATCTGTTATGTGGAATTTCTGGTACAAGCAAAGGGTTTATCTAATTATTAAATTCTCCTATCTCTAACTTTGACAAATCTCCAGCCTACAACGTCAAGTGTATGCCTTTTTAAAGAGTGGAATAGGATTTTCCACTTTTCCCGCTAGATGTTTCAGAACGCCAGATCATTCCAGCATTCGTTTTACATTCATGATATTTCTCTAGAGGCACAATATTCGATCTTCAAATATATATATAAATACATTTCATGTCACTGACCAACATATTTCTCCTTACTTTAGGCAAATTGATTTAAATATGAATGAATTTGCGACAGTGGCTCAGTTGGTAGAGCATTGGCCTTTGAGCCTGAAGGTCGTGGGTTCGATCCCACCATAAGACCTACTTCACGACACCGACTGATGACTGCTGTCGTTTTGTCCTTGGGCAAGACACTTAACCCCACTTTGCCCGAAGCCCCCGCTGAAAGATCTGCTGGAGGATAAGTGAGTGGCTGGTACAGGATCAGTGAGGGGCTGGTGCTATGCATACTGGGTGCATCTCTGGCCCTGTTTATACTGAGACGCTGCGCAGACGTTTCCAGGCTATTAACAGAAACGACCAGGCTCCTAATGCAAATTTCTCAGCGTTCACATGAGGTTGAAAAACGATGTAGTTCTAGCGTCCGGCCAGTAGTGGGCAGAGAAACTTTACAACACTCACACGACCCCCAGCCCCGTGCCCAGCCCCCCTCTCGGCAGTGTACTCACTTCCTGTGCCAGACCCTCAGAAAGTACCAACATCATTCTGCATTTTAACAGCAGCTGTGAACATGGAAACTGAACCTAGAGCTTCGCGTGGTCTCGTTTGGACGAACAAAGGAGTAGAATTATCCTCTGTCCCGCGCTGGAAGCCCACGTAGTTAGTTAGTGTGCGCAGCGCCATTTTTGTTTTTGTTTGATCTCCGCTACTGCGCATGTCCAAATGTACGTGCTGGAGCAGCGCGGAGGTGGGGGTCAGAGCAGAGGGGGATTTCACACCTTTTCCCCTCTCGCGGGTGTGAAAAAGCTCCCTGCTGTGCAGCGTTTCTGAGTTGTCCCACTCTGCAGGCTGGATCTGAACTCGTACGTTTTCACCCCCCTGGAACACAGTCTCCGTATGAACGGTTGGTAGCAACCGACATCCAACTATACCGTTTTACTGCCACATTGTCTCCGTGTAAACTCAGCCTCTGACTGCCACCCACCCGACCCAAAAATGGATTAAGGGGAAGAAAATTGATGGATTTAAATATGAAATACATTGATTCAATTCTCAGTCTTGATGGACAGTGATAAAGTGCCAAACAGTTGTTGTGTCCTTAGGCAAGACACTTCACCCACATTGCCTAGAATGCGTCTAGTGTGTGTGAATGTGTGGTGGTGGTCAGAGGGGCTGATGGCCCAGTGTGCCCCTGGGCAATTGTGGCTACAGTAGTTTAGGGTTAGGGTTATAACCACTGTCCTGATAAAAGCGCTTAATAAAACCGATGCATTTGTATCATTATTATTATATACTTATTCTTTGACTTGTATCCAGTATCCAGAGGTATGCGGTTATCCCCTTGTCCACAAACTCTGGTCTCATTGGCTGGGTGCCGCACTGTGACACCCTCCACGCTCTCATCCGAGACTACAGAGAGAAGAAGAAGATCCTGCTCAACATCGAACATCGCATCATGCTCCGGGTGAGAAATGGGACATAATACAGTACCACAAAGTGTCAGGTATTAGGTGTGCTAGTTCAGTGAATGGTTTTGTTAATAGAGCAAACGGCTTTTGTTTATCAGAAGCTAAAATAAATCTAAAGTATTCTTTTTTAACAGATGGAGCAGGTTTTGAAAAGGCTGAACCAGATGCACTACGCCAGAACTATTTGATTGAGATTTCTATTCAACATCACAGACAAAGGGCTACAAGGCTACGAGGCTACTGCCAGGGCATTTTCAAAGCGAGACTCTCGACATTGTTCCATTGTAACGTCAACCTTGAGGTGTCTTTAGGGTCAGATTTTGAGTAAACAAGTGGAACTGGTGCTGCTTTCAGAGCAAGAAAAAATCTTGATAGATAAAGCTTGTGTGAAAGAAGAAACACACTATTTATTTATGTCATAGCACATTTTATACACTCAAATGGATCTATTTCGAGTGGAAGGCTCTTATTTAGTCCTATCATTTCTATCAGCCCACTCCCAGAAATGTCTCAAGGGGGACCCCTCAGATCAGTGTCTCGGCCCTGGGGGATGTGAGATCTCTGCTCATATCTCCGCCTCTCCTCCTGGGACACTCAATTATGTCAAGTCATATCTGTTTAATTGGATTAGGACAGTATGATTGGATTGAGATTGTAATAAATAAATAAATGTAAAACTAATTAATCACAACTGAAATAATTTAGTGATCGATTCTTACATAGTCTTAAACTTTTATGGCTCTCATAATTGTATAATGGCTGCAGAATGAAATTTGTTTTTAAAAAGTATTAGGCATCTCCCTGAAAATGTTCTCCAGAGGCATCTCTGAGCTTTGATTCGGTCAAATCAGAATCTAAACAACTAATCAATTAAACAAAATAATAGTTAATTAGTGCCGACACCAACCCAACGGGTTGATGTCTGGAGTTTTGTAATGTTGGAAATGTATTGTTTGGAGTGTTGGGGAGAGAGTGTAGGGCTGGTTTAGTCATCAAAGAACAGAGCATACTCTTTGAATGCTATGTATTTTGATTGAGAGCCAAGTCACTGCGCTCGTCTCGAGCGGGAAAGATTCAATTGAACCCCATTTTGGTGTCCGCAGCGCTTTGGTGCACTGTCTGCATGGCCCAGCTGCTACAACCAGCGCACAAATGAAATAAACCTGTGACCCAAGCCACGTTGAAGTTGGCTGACGTTGGAGCTTTGTGTGTCAACAAGTGTCTACAGAGTTGCTGGCTATCGGATGTTGGCTCTTGTTCGGTTTGTGTATATTGGATTAAAGCATTACCTGTGTAATTGTGCTTGTTTCAGATGGCCCCAGACTACGACCACCTGACACTGATGGAAAAGGTGGAGGTCTTTGAACACGCTGTAAACAACACTGCTGGAGACGACCTAGCCAAGCTCCTCTGGCTCAAGAGCCCCAGTTCAGAGGTGAAGAAGCATTACAGGAGAAGTGTGGAGAAGTGTATGATTTTGGTTATTATTGTAGTTTGAAGCTTCTTCTGTAAGGTCTCGATGTTTTATTATCCCCATAGAACTCGACTTAGGCAATTCTAATAATCTTTAAGTTAGTCGTACACATAATAATATGTGTGTATATGTAAAGTTTTCAAGATTAGATGTGAAGGATATAATATTCAAATCACAGCATCTTGTTTGTCCCAAAAGAATTGGGTTGCCGTCTCTGTGCCCTACTTTTAAAACCACTAACTTGGCAGGATGTTGTAAGCAGCTTTCAAACAGGTCCCTTTTTAGAGCATAAGCAGCCTGTATTACTCACGTTGAGTTGCCTGTCATAGATTATGTATCCTGCACTCGCCGTTATGTCTTTTCTGACATTTGAGCATCTTTTTTCCCCCCCTTGCAGGTGTGGTTTGACAGGAGGACCAATTACACCCGCTCTCTGGCCGTCATGTCGATGGTTGGATACATCCTCGGGCTCGGAGACAGGTGTGTGCATCTTCCAGTCAGATCTATTTTAAGACTGAGAAATTAGGTTTGATGTAATTAACATAAAAATCTATTAACCAAGAGATGATGTTTTGACCTTTTAGGCATCCATCCAATTTGATGTTAGACAGATTAAGTGGAAAGATTCTACATATTGACTTCGGAGATTGCTTCGAGGTGAGGGGAAAGGCCGGTAATGACACAAGCAGAATGTTATGAAGATTTAATTCTGTCGTGTTCCGTGAATAGGTGGCCATGACCAGAGAGAAGTTCCCGGAGAAGATCCCATTCAGACTGACACGGATGTTGACCAACGCTATGGAGGTATAGCATCATTTCATTCATAAATTTAGAGAATATGATAGCATTAGTAGACACTCGGCATGGAATTCGATTTAGAATTTTATGTATTTAATATTTATAATTGTATATATCTGTCTATTGTCTGTGTTGTCTGGGAACTTGGATTTTTCACTTGTGGGATAAAAAAAGTGTTTATCTCTCTATCTAGCGTAACGTTAGCTTACCATTAGCTTACCATTTGCAATTCATGCTACTTCATCCTTTCAATCTCTTCAGGCAGCTTTGACCCAGGAAGTGAGAAAACATGTCTGCTTAAAAGTCCATAGTACATGGCCCACCTTATTGGCCCGATCTATGGAGAGGGAAACCATTTAGTCTCGCAGCACCGGGACCTATTAGAAAATCTGACTCGTGAGCTTGATTGATGACGCACTCACTTGGCCCCGGCTCTATTATTTCTGTGTTGCGTGCAGGTGACGGGTCTGGATGGTAACTACCGTATCACTTGTCACACGGTGATGGAGGTGCTGAGGGAGCATCGCGACAGTGTCATGGCTGTCCTGGAGGCCTTTGTCTATGATCCGCTGCTCAACTGGAGGCTCATGGACAGTACGATACAAACACACACACACACACACACGCGCATACACGCACACACTTAAAAGTTTTTAGGGCAGCCACTTTCCAAACGACTCGACCTTCAGCTGGAGTTTTAGACCAAGTCAGAGATCGTCATCTAGCACTGTAAATCACCTGTGTCAAACTCAAGGAAAGTGGGGCAAATGTGTCCATCTACAATGTTTTACCTTGCACAAAAATCAGTCTCGGATGCCATTTTTCTAGAATATTGAGACGGGTACAACGACACTAACAACATAAAAAGAAAACAAATTGACAGCGTTGGTACGAGTTGTACGGCTCACTTTGTAAAAGGCTGACAGGATCGAGAAAGTGTGATGCATATCAATGGAAACAATTTGCACGTTGTGATGTTTATTGAAATCCAGGGAACCTAACATTAAAACCACAGAAAATAAAACTAGAATGAAAACCATGTAACTATTTACTGGCTTAGAAATTGTTTTCACTTTGTTACATCTTTAGATCAGATGTTTTTTCCAGATAAGTGAAAAAGCATCAGCAAGCACCCAAAGTAAAATTCAGAGGCTTTTGTCTTTCCAAGTATCATACAAAAGATAACATGTTTTCTAATTAGATCGGTTACATTTGACTTTGGTTGATTCCTTCTGTTCGAACAAACAAGATGTGTATTCACAAGGAAGCTTTAAAGGGGACATAACGTGGAAAATTTGTTCTTGTTTTTATTAACTTAGCAATAATATAGCTGTTTTCTCTTCCACACTAAATGTACACAGCCAAAGTTGTTTCAGAAACGATTCATGGATGAGTCATTTATATTCTCTTAAAATACCCACGATGCCATTGCTCCTCAAACCATCACCACAGCGACATACCCACTGCTTTCACTTAATGCTAATTTTCCTTGATCTGACCTCGATCAATTTGTAAAATCTAGTGGGACTGAACACAGAACAATTAAACACTTTCCAAAAGAGGCACTCTGTATAAATACTATATCGTATTTTAGTCAGGGATCTCTTGTATTGGGCCATAAATATTGACTTGTATTTTAGCTTTACATTCTTACATGATTATCTCTGGAGACTGACTTGACTTTTGCCCACAGCAAACATCAAAGGCACAAAGCGTTCTCGAACTCGGACTGACTCGTACACGGCCGGGCAGTCTGTCGGTGAGTATACCAGGAGCCTGAAGACTTTTTATTTGTTGCAGCTATAGTAAGGATCTCCAACCTGTCGGAGAGCAGATACTAAAAATAGTATCTCTCTGAATGAGACAATACTAATGTGAAGAAGACTCGATACACAGTTTGAAAATAGTTTGGAGGAAGTAAACGCTCACTAATTTCAACTCCTCTGACTCATACAACACAACACAAAAACACACACACACTCAGGCCCAAACACTCTCTAACCTACATCACTTGCTCTGTGTTGAAGCCATCATTCTTTTTCCTCCGCATACTTCTTTAGTAATAATTTCTGAGGCTTGTCAGAGGTTTTGAACTGAATCATATTTGAATATTTTGTTTTACTACATCTTGTAAAAGTGTAGCTCCTCGCACTGAGATCTACATAGACTAAACCTATTCTTTTGCTTTCTCTCTGGAATCATGGTCTGGTTAGAGATTTGGCTTCAATTTTGTATGCAAATTATTTGTATATATATTGTGTATTTCACAGACCAAAGTCCCAAAGCGTTACAATATTGCTGTACCGATAATTGGCTTCTCATATGGCACTTTTACATTATGGAGAGTTTTTTCCTTTTTTTGTTGTTTCTGTAATTCCCATAATTCCACCCACAACAAAAGTGAAGTGTTGTAAATTACTACATATGATGCAAACTTATTTTAAATTCACTATGGGGTTTGGAAATTGGTATTGGGATTAAGTCTTTTCACTGACATTACATTGTAATTTTAGTATTATGAAGTTGCTGTAATATTTCTTTCAGTCCTCCTAACTCTATCTTTTGTTGTCTCTTGTGCAGAAGCGCTGGAGGGAATCGACCTTGGAGAGACCACGCACAAGAAACCAGGCACCACTGTCCCCGAGTCCATCCACTCCTTCAGTCAGTGCATCTCCTTCAGAAATGATTTGTCCGTTATGAAAATAGTGTTTTTTTATCCTCGTTGTGGTGCTGCCTGCTGTCACGAGCGATCGCTGTGACTGTTGTGTTGTCGTTGTTAGGAGCATTTTTCCTCAGTGTGTGTTTACCTGTTGCGTTTTGGAAGATGACAAGTGCCTGACGTCTGTTTGTGCTGCAGTTGGAGACGGCTTGGTTCAACCCGAAGCGCTCAACAAGAAAGCTATTCAGATCATCAACCGAGTGAGGGACAAGCTGACAGGTGAGCAGCCATTTTACCTCTCTGTTTAGAATCTGAATACATATTTTGACTGTTAGAAATGTGTATAATGAGGATTTTGTATTATTTATTTGCCTAAAGCTGGAGTACTTCATTTTGACACAACAAATATGTACATGTATGAAATAAAATCTAACTAGTTCCTCACTCTAGTTCTTTAGTTCTACCACTTTCTTTTCACATGCTTGTATTGTTGGCCTCTGTCACATCTCTAAATCATTGAGTACCAGCCCTCACACAGCCAATTTATTTATTTATTTAAGTTGAATTTAGGACTGTTCGTATTAATCAATATGCCTGCGTAAACATAAATATGCTGGAATTGGATACAATTCAGCTATTGTGCCATTTTCCTTAAGGCAGGTAAGAAACACACAAACACACAGTTAAGTCAAAGTGCAAACAATACGTCGAAAAGCACAACATAAAGAATTTAAAAGAGAAGAGAAAGTCCAAGCGAGAGAGAGAATCTTGAAACCAGCATTTTGTGGTCATCAATAACATGAAATAACAAAAGAAAAATGTTGGGTATGTGAGACAGGCCTGCTCGCTGACAATGTTTAAAACCAGGTTAAAAACGGTTCTGTTTAGCTGTGCATACAACTGAGGGATTTTATATTTTTATCTTTCTTTTTAATGTTCTGTGATTATTTATGATTTTAATGCTTTCTTATTTTGTTCAGCACTTTGAATTGCCTTGTGTATGAATTGTGCTATATAAATAAACTTGCCTTGCCTTGCCTAGAGAAGAACCAGGTCGCTGTATAGAAAGTCGCAACCATCGTGAATTCACCTTTTGTTTCCTCTGCAGGGCGCGACTTCTCACACGACGAAACGCTGGATGTGCCGACGCAAGTGGAGCTGCTGATCAAACAGGCCACTTCACACGAGAACTTGTGTCAGTGCTACATCGGATGGTGGGTAATGTGTGTGTGTGTGCGTGTCCGTGTGTGTAAGTGATGTACGGTTAGACTCAGCTCAGGGCAAGAATACATCATCACACTCACTGAGAGAACCGCGGCCAGCTCTGCGATCAGGATGTGAGGACAGAAGCAAGGTCAGTGGTGGATCAATAAAGGCTGGCAAGAACACCTGTACTAATGCCTGTTTTATGGCTTCATTAGAGGAATACTGTCCAGCATTGTATTTATATTCACATTCATATTCCACACTTATCCCACTGCCCACACCGCAACACCAGAGATTTATAAATGAGTAGAATTAATTATATTGGTCATCGTGGCTTGCACAATTTGTTCTTTGTTCTATGTGATTTATTTAGCTTTGGGTATTTTTGAGAGAATATTAGAAAGGGAGGGAAAGAGAGGAAATGCATTTGCAGGATATTTTTGCTGAACTAAATTTTGACTTTTTAAGCTTTAACCCTGCTCCGCTTTCTATCCCTTGTTTTTTGTTTTGCTTATGTTTCAACTGTTGCGTGTATAACCGTATTCAAACATTGCGTGTAAACAATGTGTGAAGACATTAGGGATGATTCATGTATATAGTTCTGTATCTTTACCATATCGCTCACACGTCCCAAACTTAGAAGACAAAAAATACCAATTATTTGTGTTTTAAATGTATAAACTACATAAAGGCAAGTGAACAATGCTGTATTAGAGGCTGTGGTCACCTTCACAATGGCCTGACTGAGTATTGAAATATTTTATTACGCACCTTACTCATTATATTATGCGTATATTTTAATCTGAAAGCATGTTTTAACATTACACCAGGTTTTAGAACTCTTTTTTTTCATCCCTTCCATTTCTGGATTGGTGACAATCCAGAAATGGCAATCAGAGCTATCACTCCATTTTAGATTCATTTCAGGTCTAATCAACCATTTATTGTGTGAAAAATGTGGAAAATAATAGATAGACAGATAGATACTTACTCTATTGATCCCCATAGGAGAAATTCAGGTGTCCAGTAGCAGCAAAAATAAAAAATATAATTGATAATTCTAAAAAGCTAAAAATAGTAATGATCAGCAACGGCCCTTCAGGTCACAGCAGAAGAGGTGGAGAGGAAGAGCAGCACAGATGGAGTAGCCTCTGGGTGGAGCAGGACAGTTTAAAAGGTGGAGTGGCCGCTTTGTTTGGACCATTTTCTCTGCTCTAGTCCAAAGTAAAATGCTAAATGCTTCATTAGCATTTTTCAAAAAGTTAGCATTCCTCCAGTGGATTTTCACCTGATCCACTTGGTTCAGACCATGAATCCTTTCTGCTCTGGTCTGGACCAGTGCAAAACCATGATCACTGAACTGCAGCAACATCTCAAGTAGAAAAAAGCAATAAAAAGAAAAATTGTAAGGCACAAAACAACAACTGTTTCAGAGCTACTAAGGACTTGCAGCCGTTTTCCAGCGCATTCAAAAATAATGCAATAATTTTTGAATGCGCTTTTGCAATTAATTTCACATTGATTTTTTTTCATAGATTCAGCCCCAATTAGAATCTCCTCCTTTCAGATCCAAAGATGAATACCTTTTTTTTTTGTTCATATGCTTTGTCTAATTACTGTCGCATGCATACTGTATTATGTATCCTTTCGGACACAATTTTGAATTAGACCCTGTTTTTCTAATCCACTTATGCTTTTATGAAAAGACTTGGGCTGTGAAGGCCACGTGCAGACTCAAAAATCAAATACCCCTTCAATAATAAAAAAAAAAAAAAAATCATACTTCATATTCGGATATTGAAATCCCAATTGGTGCTAATGTAGAGTTTTAATGCTCCTGGCTCTACCTGCTGACCACCTGAAGTTATTTGGGCCATGACCTTTTTTTTCTTATTTATTCTCTTAAATCATGGCCCACAGTGTAGGAAATCTCTTAAGGGGTGCTTAGTCTAATACTTCCATAATCTCTGTCTTTCAGGTGTCCATTCTGGTAAAGCGGCAGGATCTGGACGCCTCCTTGTGAAATTCCACATACCTGAATCCCGGTGCTTTTAGAGTCCAGGTTAAGTTGGACAAATTTCCCACAGAGCCATTTTATCTCATTTTATTTAAATTATAGCTGTTGTCCCACTTTGTCCTATTATTTTCTTCCTTTCGCTTTGTGGCCAAATTGTAATAAGCAGCCTTTTATAACAGCACATTTCTCCAGTCTTTGAGTCGACACATAATAATAATTACATGCTCTGCCTTTGACTGCTACATTGACTTTGTAATGTATTGTGCGAGCATGAAGGTGCCAATAAATAAATCTGTACAGATGACAACAGTGTGCTATTAAGGCGGTGAATCACAAATGATGCATCTTTTGTTGAAAACTTGGAAATTAAATGAACTAAGAAAAGGACCCACTTGCGTAATCTTTCCTCGCCAACACATTACATTCTGTTTGAGAAAAAGCACAGTAAGATTCCTCCTCAAATTCATTCAGTAACTACCTTTATGTCCTGGTTTATTATACATTTCAAAAGATTTAAAATATATTTTTGTTATTCCTGGTAGAATAAACCCAGGCCTATCATAATTCTTTGTTATATATCATTTTGCGTTTATTTGCTGCTCCATAAAATCCAATGCTTTAACCTACTAATTGATAAAGCAAAATGTATATGAGAAATAAAATATATTAATAAAACATTATATTATGCAGGATATTTAAGGACATTTAATAACATTTATGGACATTGGATATCCACCCCCTATGGACCAATGGCTCATTTGTGTTTATTATTAGTGCTTGATTTTCTGATCAGTTGTTGGCAAATCGACAAGTTTGTAAAGTCCTCTGAGGCGACTGCTGTTGTGATTTAGGGCTTTTATTTTCAACTCTGTCTTGTCAACCATTAAGCCACCAGAAATATAGGCAACAATTGTTTTCTATACACTGCCCTTTCTCTATGTCTTCTGCCACCTACAGAGGGCAGTGTTCCTCCTACCAGCTGCGCCCCGAGTCTGCAGTCCTGGTTTTCTGTGAGTACTCTGCACACCACGGCACAGCTACATTTCACATTTCTGCCTTTACTTTTGAATCGGGATGAGAGTGCTTGTTCTTCACTATATTTATCCAGGATGTAGACCGTGGGGAGGTTGTGCGCGCTGCTGCTCTTCTCAACCCAGAGAGAAATCAAACTGAGTAAATTGCAGCAGCAGCCTAGACAACTATTAATTCAGTTTTATCTAGTGGGTGCAAGGTAGCATCATTTCACTCCGATCTCATTGTTATTCCGCCACTTATTCGGCTATTTATTCCCCTTTTGCTTTCTCCTCTGAAGGTTAATTACTTATAGATAGTTGGGGATTACGGATCAACAAAAAGCAGCCCATTGATCGTTTCCCTGGCGTGCCCACCTCTGCAATGTCACACTCCTTACACACTGGGACATGGGCGCGGTGATTATCTGTTCTCATCGATCCACTCCTTCTGTTTTTCCTCTATTCTTCTGCACATTCACTGCTGCTTCTGTCACTTCCCTGCCGCCGCTGTCCAAAAGCTCATTATAGAAAATGTGACTTCTCATTGTGGCTATTTTCTCCCCTTGTTTCTCTAATTTGTTTATTTTTTGTCTTGCACCTCGTTGCGCAGTTTGAGTCAATAGCTGGAGTTAAATAGGCGCCATTGATCGCTTGGAAGGATTTAGCTGTTTACCAACTGTGGAAATGAAAGTGGAATGCGGGAATGGGGAAAGGTGTGTGGGTGCAGCGGCTAAATGGTGATGAATGATCCTCATCAGGAGACAATGGACATCAACAATCATGCTGGAAGTTTTGTTGTGGAGGATGCCAGATTTTTATTTTTCATGAACTATGTTAAAAAGCAACATGTCAAAAATCTGGCAACCAACAAAAGCTCAAGATTGTGGATGTTTCCCATACATCACACCTGGTTTGGTTTGTAGGTTTGCTAAGTGTAGAGTTGACGGTCTGTTTCATCATAATCCAATTGGTTCTCTTCTCAAAGTCAAGGAGTTGAGGTTTTAAGTTTATAAATAACTGACAGATTTGCTTGAGACAATGGTTGAATAAATCTATGGTTTCTTCGTTGAACATCAGTCCCAGAGGCTTATGGAGGTGTAGTTGCCAAAGCCTCTGACATGACACTGACACGAGGCTCTGAGTCTAACAAATCACAGCGACAGCTCTTTGGAATGTTGCCCAGTGCTGTTTTGATAAGCCCCCAAATTGTCTTGAATTCTATCCAGATTGACCAACACCACTCTGTTATGTTACATGGTGAGTGACATCACATTGCCTTGCCAGGGCCGTCTGCATTGATTGAACCCTCTCCTGCAGTCTCAGCCTGGACTATGGTCAGACCCCGACAACACTTTGGTGCAATGAGAGGAAAGCAAGATCTAAATCACAAACAATTTCATGATGCAGCTTTTAAGAGCGTTGTCAGAAGGCTTGCATCAGGATTTCTGCTGAGAACCCTTCACCTCCGGCGTAGCCAACAGCTGTTAGAAAAACACCCACTTGGAGGCCGTATTGACGTTGGCTTGTGGAGTCAGAGAGCTGAGGACCTGTTTGAGGCTGGCGCCTGCAGTCGGACCGTGTCTGAGCACTGTGCTGTGAAGTCTGATCGATGGAGCTGACAGCAGTTTAGCCCTTTGTGAGATGTGCTGGTCCCCAGGAGCCTCCAGAACATTCTCTCCACACCTCTAGCCTTGTTTACAGCTCTGCTGATGGGCCTTCAAGAACCCCGGATTCCCACCAAGGTACCATCTGCTCAATCAGGAATAAAAGGAATAAAGGAATACTATTGTGGGAAGCATCGTTGGCATTTTCCTGCTCTTTATAGTCACAATCTACCAAACCTGAAAAAGCAATATTCACATGTTTTTTTGCCACAGTCCTACTTAAAGTAAATGTGTGAAAAAATTGGGAGAGAGGAAAATTGCATTTGGTTCAGACATAGGATTGTCTAAATGCTACAGTAGGTGGAATAAAGACGTACATTACATCTGTAAAGTGGTCAGAAATATGACTACATTTACTAGATTATAATCCCACTCGTGGTGTGTCGTGGTGTGAATGAGCTGCTTGTGTAAGTAACTCCTGACTAAGTAGTTTGAGCACACCAGAGCCCAGTGCATGTAAGATAAGTTATTTGTCTGGGATAACGAATATGTATCAAAGCCCAAACAGCCCCTCGCAGTCGTTTCTCTGAACACAAACCAAAGTAGGACACGTAAATGAGAAATCTGCAGAGCTTTGAAGCCCTGCGCAGTGTTTTGCATGCTGCTGGCTCCAAATGAAAGCGGGCGCTAGTTAACTGTTTGAGGAATTACAAGTTTAATATCGAGTGACATCTGCAAATGGCGCGCAGTATGCTAGTGTTTGTCTGGAACTGGAATAAGCAGCTTTTCCACAGTGGAGCGTTCTGTTACGTGGTGGGCACAGTGGCACTGCACAGATCCAATCAGGAAATTAATGAACTTGGGCCATGTTCAGAAATAAATAAACTTCAATGCTGTGTCATGCAAGGGTGAGCGTCTGTGTTGTGTAGTCTATTTTTCAGTTACAAAGTATGTGTTTATCAGTGTGTGGCACTGAAAGAATTGCATCAAACCCGACTCATAAAAATGTTTTTGGTTTTGTGAATTCTTCAGTTCTTTAAGAAAGTGTTTGACCCCTTCACTTTCTCTAAATTCTGTAATGTCAAAGCCTCATTCCAAAATAGATTGAATTCAACATAATTTAACTTCATTGAAGGAGTGCAATAGTTTACAAGTATTAACTGTATTTTAACTGGAATATCCCGAATGGTTTTAACTGTTCAGTGCCACAGAGAGGATTTTTAACCTTCAGAAAGTCACATTATTATTATCACAGTATTAGTTTTATTGCTATTTCATAATCAACAAAAACATAGATTACCTGATCTTTCAGGACGACAGTAGCTCAGTTGTCAAGCATTGGCCTTTGAGCCAGAAGGTCATGGGTACGAGCCCACCTCAAGACTTTCACCATCAACTCCCACTGTCTGCTGTTTTTGTGTCCGTAGGCAAGACACTTTACCCCCATTGCCTAGAATGAGTCTGTGTGTGTGTGAATGGTTGGTGGTGGTCAGAGGGGCCGATGGCGCATACTGGTTGCCTCGCTTCTGTCAGTGTGCCCCAGGGCAGCTGTGGCTACAGTAGTAGTTTATCACCACCGTGAATGAAGCGTCTTTGAGTGTCCAAAAAAGCGCTATATAAAACCAATGCATTATTATTATTATTGTTATCATTTAGTAATGACACAAATACAATATGAAATTTTAACATTGTTTTCCTGTATATGTAATGATGTAACAATGGGAAACTGTGAGATGTCAATCATTTGTTTATTATAATGTTTGAAAACCACAAATAAGACATTTCAGGAAATTTGAATATTTGTAAATTCAGATTCAGATTCATTTATTTGCCATTTGCAGTAAAACCACATTGGAAAAACTGCAAGACTACCCCGGTGTGCACCGAAATGGACTATAAGCCACAATCATTAGTTTATTTATGACTGAATAATTGTTTTGTTTTTATAGAGTAGGAGAAGGGAAGGCAGGGAAGGGAGCGGGGAGGATAAAATCTGACATAAATAAACACCTTCTTGTATTATTTTGTATTTCCATAATACATCAGTAAATCTTTATATGTCTTCCTTTTTGTTTCGTTATTTCCTCAGTTGTGGTTTTGGAACACTATTAGCTTGAAATAAAAAAATAAAAAAGTATATTCTAATTTTCCAAGTTTCACCTGTAAATGTTTATGGAAATGTTTTTTTCTAATATTAATGTTACACAATAAAATGTACATCTCGGTACCTGCTCTCTGAGTCATTCATTATATCAATGACAATAATCATAGCAATTACAGCTCAGCAACGATTATGTTAAATGTTATGTTAATATTGGCACACAGACGATGGTTCATTATTCATTATCTGAAATAAGAGA